GTGTCTGGGTGCCAGCCTCCCTCCCTCTGAGCCAGGCCTGTGTGGATGGGGATGTGGGAGCCAGGAGGACAGGGCCAGCCATGGAGATGTCCAGGCCCCTGTGGCAGGGCCCACACACAGGGACAACGCTGACCAAGCAGGGCTGACTGGTGGAACACACATACCTGTGTCTCCCTTCCCATCCCTATTGCCTGCCACAGAACTAACCTTCACCAAAGTCTCTTGTCTGTTCTTCCAGAACTATTTCACAAGCACAGGCACATATGTAAACTCAAAAACAAAACCAAGAGCCTGATGTGTGAGGCAGGAGGGTTGGCTCTGTGCACAGTTTGCTTCGCTTGACAATGCACACAAAGATCATCCTACTCGGCATGTGGAACACAGCCAGTTCTTACAGGTTACATAAGCACTCCAGTGAATGGAGGTACCACAACTACGTACTCGATTCCTGGATGATGGCTGCTGGAAGCTCCTTTTAGTTGTCACCAAAAAAAAAAAACCTTTAGGGCCTGGCGCGATAGCATAGTAGTTGAAGTCCTCGCCTTGCACATACCAGAATGCCATATGGGCACCGGTTCTAATCCCAGCGGCCCTGCTTCCCATCCAGCTCCCTGTCTGTGACCTGGGAAAGCAGTCGAGGACGGCCTAAAGCTTTGGAACCCTGCGCCCGCATGGGAGACTCGGAAAGAAGCGAATGTGATTGTTCTGGAATGCTGTTGATCTCACTGGATGAGGAATCCCGTCCAGTGTCCATCGGCTGACAGACACAGCGATCTTAGCGTCTTCACTTGCCTAGATATTTGCTGTCATCGTTTGTTCTGCTTTCCTTCTCGGCTATGGTACCAGATGTCCCCCGCAGTCCCCCGTGGGCTAAGGTATCCTCTATGTGTACCAAGGCCTGCTGCCCAGGACTAGTCCTTTACACTGAGAAGGACCATGCACCTGGGCCCTGTGGGACCCCCACCCCTGGGGCTCAAGGACCCACCCACCACACAGGCAGAATAATAGAGAAAATCTTTCATCTACTGGGTCCTTCCCCAAAATGTTCAGAACAGCCAGAGCTGAGCCAGGCTGAAGCCAGGAGTCTCCCACGTGGGTGACGGGGACCCAGGTATGTATGACTGATTCTTAAGTGTAATACACCTTTAAAAATAAAAACAAAAAATAAACCTTAAAAAATAAGACTCTAGAAAAAGAAAAGGAAATGAATCCCCAAGAAAGTAGAATGAAGGAAAAGAAGGCCAGAGCAAGGTCGTCAAGGAGATGAACACCAGAAGACCAGGAAAATCACGGACACCGGAAGCTGATTCCTCGAGCAGATCAATAACCTTGCTCAACGAGGACCAGACTGAACAGGTCAAAGGCAGACGCTGTCTAAACAGTGGGGGGAGGGGGCGCTGCAGGCAGGGCACCTGACTGTGACACGTAACCACTGCAGCTGTTGGTTGCTGTTAACAGCTTCCTGCTAATGACCCCTCTGTGAGAGACCTGGGTGAAGTTCCTGGCTTCAGCCGGTCCGGTGCTGGTCATTGTGGGAGTGAACCAGTAGATCATTCTCTGTCTCTCCCTTTCTTTTTGCCAATCTAACTCTCAAAATCAATAAATAAATATTTTTAAGAAAAGAATAAAATGACTTAGGAGCCATTATTACCAATTCCAAATGTATAAAAGGATAAGAAAATAGCATGGTCGATTTATAAAACTCTGTTGTACAATTAGATAGAATGGGCAAATTTCTTGAAAAGCATGAATTATCGTAATTCACTCCAAAGCAGATGGTCGGGTGGGCACTGTGGCACCCGTGGGGTGCTCACATGCGTATGAGTGCCAGCTTCCGTCCTGGCCGCTCCCTGCTGGCTTGCGCGGGAAGCAGTGACAGGTCTGAGGACGAATCCTGGTCAGAGGCCTTGATTCCTGGCTTTGGCCTGCTGCAGTCTGGGAAGCGAACCAGCAGACAGAAGGTTGCCTCTTTCTCCATCTTTCTCTCCTATGCTTTTCAAGTAAGTAATGAATATTTTTTAAAAATAGGTAGCCGTAATAGCTCCATATCTTTAAAAGATCTTAAAACTATGCTTTAAAAACTCCCCGTAAAAGAAAACTCTAGTGATAAATTATGCCAGTGATGGACAGTCTAGGTTACACGTGCACCCAGTGGCAAGGGAGTCTAGGAAATGAAGGCTTGGTTAGTTTGATTTAACCAAAAAATCGAGTGTGAAGAAGGTTTTCAAGAAACTAGGGGGCCATACCTGAGTGGGGTTTTTTTTGCACATGGGAATGACCCTGCTTCGTGAATTGGAAAATTCACTGAATTTAAGAGACATGATCCAGCTGCCCCCAGTCTGAAGCAACAATCGCCACAGAAAAGGGTGCTCTTAAAAAAAAAAAAAAGATTTATTTTCATTTTGATAGAGTTACAGAGAAAGAGGGAAAGAGAGAGATCTTCCATCCATTATTTCACTCCCCAAAGAGCCCCAAAAGCCAGAGCTGGGCCAGGCCAAGGCCAGGTACCAGGAGCTTCTCCAGGTCTCCCAAGCAGGTGACAAAAATGCGACACTTGGACCATTTTGTGCTGCAGGAAGCTGGGTGGGAAGCAGAGCAGGTGGGACAAGAACCAGCACTGTTATGAAATGCCAGACTTGCAGGTGGCAACTTCACCTGCTATGCCTCAACGCTGGCTCCTAGCTCTCCGTCCTGATGGACCGACCCATGCCAGGCTGTGAGGAAGAGACCCTGCTGACCGCTGATCTCTGCAATTTTCTCATTTCTTTCTGTGACATCTGTCAGGGCGATGCAGCTGATTTGGCTGGTTAGATGGGTGCTTCCTCCTTCACGCCCCATGGGTGTTTCTAGGAAGCTGTGCTCAGGGTGAAATAGGATGACTTTCCCTGCTGGGGAAGGACTGTCTTCGGTCAAGGTTTGCCTCTCCTTCCCCCTACCCTATCCTCCTAGAACCTCCCAATAAGCCCTCAAGATCTTTTCCTTCAAATGCGTCTTCAATTATTTGTAGAACAGAGTACCAGAGGGAGCTGGAGATGGTCCACTCTGCTGGCTCACTCCCCAAGGAGTTGCGAGGGAGGCCAGGGCTCGGTCACTTAGAATCTAGGAGCTGCATCCGCTCCCCCACATGTTTACAGGCACCCGAGGTCTTGAGTTATTTTCTGAATGATTCCATCAGAGGGAGCTGGATCTCAAGTGGAGGCCAGAGCAGACTCCCCACGGGCTATGAGCTCCCGGAGCTTGCTTGTGGGGACAGGAAGGGGATTCTGGGAATGGTAGGAAGTAGGAATACAGACCAATCAGATTTACTCAACGCGTGCTCGGAACTGGCAGATTGCGTGTGAGAGATGGACAGCACACAAACGCTCGCCTTCCGAGGGTCTTCAGCTGCATAGGGAGTCATGCAATCAGGCAGTGGTGAAGCAGCAGGGTAGTCCAACGCACACTCGGCCAAAGCATCCTTCCGGCTTAGCTCATGGGGCATCATCTTCTGCTTGGACCACCACAGCAGCTTCCAAGCATGCTTCCTCCACCCACACTGCTGCTGGGAAGTTTTTCTGAAATGCAAATCTGATGAGACTCTGATGCGAATCTGATGAGACTTCCGCAGCTGATCTTGGGGAAGGGTCGAGCTCCTTTGAAGGTTCCCAATGCTCACTGTCCACCGCGCGCCCTCTTCTTTCCCCACCAGTCAACCCAAGGCTCCGTGCTGCCCTTGCAAGAAGATATTCACAGGGTCCCTTCTCCGGGGCACATCCGCAGGATCGGGATCCCCATGCAGGGTAAGAAGCTCCAGTGCCTCCTTACAAACATTGCCTCGCTGGGTGCAATTTAGGTTTCCTGGTGGCCTCTGTCCCCATTAAGAATGGCACTCCAGCTAGGCGCCTCATCCGGTGCCTGTCACAGAGCAGTTGGGTCCATAAGTGGCTGTGGAATGCACCTGAAGTCAACTCTGGAAACGCGGACCCGAGTACCGATCCGAACTTCAATTTCCCCAGAAGCGCGCTCCCAGCCTGGGCTCTGGCCACGCCCTGCGCCTTCTCTCAGGGCTCCGGTGGGCTCTTGAGCAGCTCACAGTCTTCGCCGATCGCTGGCAGGGCGGAGACCCACCTCCCCGCGCCTCGGGCTCCGCCAAGCAGGTGCCGCTTGAATGAGACTTTGACAGATGCCTTGGAGCCTGATCTCGAAAATAAAATGTGGACCCGGGTGTTTGTGTGTGTCCATTAAAACGCCCCCTTTCCATGCTGCCTTTTCCCACGTGCGTTGAATGCATGCTCCTAAGCCGTCTGGTGACGGTGCGGTGTCCGCGGGCTCAGGGGCACCCACCCCTGGCGCTCCCGGCGCACTTGAATGAATGGGGGAGGCCTGTGCGCATGAATGAGTGAGAGCAAGCGCGCCGGCCAGTGAATGGCGACCGCGCCGCCGCCTCGGCCCAGGGGCCCCGGCTCCATTTCCCTCTCCCGCCAGCTGGTGGCTTCGGGAAGGTGGCGGCGCCGGCAGCGGCCCGAACTGGGACGGCCGGGGCGCGGAATGGTGGGGGAAGGGGCGTTCCCGGCGGCCGCGCCTTCCGCGGCTATTGGATTAGTGGCCTTCAGGGATGAGCTCAGCCGGATCGGCTTTCAGCTGCAGCCTCCGGGCCGGCCGGGAAGGCGGGGAGCGGGCGGCGGCGGAGGAGGAGGGGGAGGCGGCGGCGGTGGCTGCAGCATCCAGAGCTGGCCGCGGCGGCCGGCGCGCCCAGCGCACAAAGGCGCCCAGCCTCTGGGGAAGGCGATGAGCGCACCGCAGCCCCTACCCGGGCCCCAGCTGCAACCACTACTGCGTGCGTCCTGGGCTCAGAGCAAGACCGCGCGAGCGCCCGGGGCGGGTGGCCCAGGTGCGGCCCGTGTGCCCTGAGCGCGAGACTCGCCGCCCTCCGGGTCAGCGCAAAGCTTTGGAGCGGTTGGAGCGCGGCCTCGGCGCGCGCCTCGAATCGGCGCGGTCAAGCGCTTTCCCACACCGGGCGCCAACTTCGCCAAGAAGGCTCCCAACTCCCGGGCCACCCCGCCAGGCAGAGGGGGCGCTGCTGCCGGCCACCAGCCGCGAGAACGCGCCGCTGGCCCTCGAGAGGGAGCCAGCATCTGCGGGGTCGCTCGGGCACCCCAGAGTGGGCGGCGGCGGCCGTGGACGCTTCTCACGGGCGGCGGAGACCTGCGAGCGCTGGGGATTCCTCCAGGGCGGGCGCTCGCTTTCTCTTTTATGGTGAGTACCCTGGAGCTCCCCGGAACCCGGGTGGGGGCTAGAGGTCGACTGCCTGCGGCGCGGACTTGGTGCGGGGTAGCACTCGTCGCAGCCTAGGCTCCGGGAGTCGGTCAGCTCGCGTTCTCTGGAAAGCCTCTGCGGATGGTGGCAGCCCAACCTGGTGGCTTTGCGCACAGCGCTGGGGCGTTAAGGGCAGTCCCTTCGTACCGGGGTTCCAGAGCCTGCCGTTTCAGAAACACCTGCTTCCGAGGTCTCCCACCTGGATTTGGGTCGCAGGTCCGTCACTCTGGTGACCTTGGGCAAGACGCCTACCCTTAGTTTCCTCATCCGTGAGATAGGGATGACAACGGTCCCAGCTTTTCAAGGCTGTTGGGTACCCAGGGCTTCGAGGGAATGCCTAGCACACAGGAAGTACCCGCTCACTTCTCAGCTGGCGTTTTAATGAGCTTTAGGAGCCCAAGCGTGTCATCCAACTTTCCCGAGCTGCTGCAGCTCCTTGGTCAGTGCAGCTGGATCGGCCATCCCTGCCAAGTCTGCTGGTCCAGAGGATTCGGGCTGGAGAAAAGTAAGGCGCTCGGCGCGGCAGGCACTGAGCTGCGACTTGCTCCTGACTCTAGAGGTTTGCGAGGCTGGTCGCCTGCCCGAGAGCTAGCTGCTTGGGTCGGTTCCGGGCTTTGCTTGGATTGGAAAGGCAACCGTTTAGGGGCTCCAAGAAGGGAGAACGGAAGCCAGAGCCTCGCACGTGGCTAATGTCCCGCCCTGGTGGTACTGGCCGTGCCATCGGCTCCAGGCCAGGAGGGGACGTGAGCCCCGCATGTCTGGCTGGGAAGCTGTTGGGGGGAGTGGCTGCTCCTGTGCCTGTGGCCCCGAGCTCTGGGCTCCCTTGGGCAGGAAGGACCAAGAGGACACTTCTGTGTGATTGTAGCCCGGAGGTGGAGGGTTGGGCCGCCGTCTCCAGCGCCAGCCTGGCCTGTGACCTTGAGCAGGTTATATTTCCTTTTTATGATAAAGATGGATCAATTCCATGATACAGAAAAGGACTTGTGCCAGGGAGGAGGGGTGGGATGAGCGAGGGAGAGAAATGCTCATAAACCATCAGATGACGGATGACAGATGGGAAAGAATTACTTCTATCGCAATGGCCATGGTCACTTTAAATGTGTGGAAGATTCTTCAAGTGCACATGCAGAAAGCCAACTGGGAAGGCAGTGCATGGGCTGGTTGGGAGGTTGTACCCTCCACGCAGTTAGGGCCCCAACTCCACTCCTAGTATCAGCTCCCGCTCATATGGCCCTTGGAGGCGAAATGATGAAGAGGCTGGTCCCCAGAGTCCACCCAGCCACGGGCTGCCTTTGTTGCCTCTGGGGAGCTGACCAGTGGCTAGGACCTCTGCTTCTATGTCTTTCTACCTATCAAAGAAATGTAAAAAAAAAATTAACCTTTCAAAAGACCATACTGACTAAAGATACTTTATACACAAACACGAAACAGCATCAGAACACAGCACGAGAGGACCCACCTGACTCACACAGACACAGCAGCATCGCTTAAAAAACACAAGTAGATTAAATTCCTGCCTAGCTCAGGTCTTCCTCCAAGCTGTCCTGGACTCAAGTCTAGACGGCACATGATACTGGGGTACGGTTGCTGCCCCACCCCCACCCTCTGGCCTTTCTCACCGATTTTCTCTCTCAGCACCCCCTGGCCTTCTTGGGTTTGCTCCAGTACTTCAAAGATTTGCTCACTTGCTGTTGCCCTGCCCAGGCTATTTTCCCTTCAGCTTTTCAGAGGGTTGGAACCTCCTCATTCCTGCAGGCCTGTTCTTGAGGCATTTCATTTCCAGCCTGGGAAGAGGCCAGGGGCCAGGCAGCCAGGAGAGTCACCTTGTCCTTCTGCAGCAATCCCCATGCCAGGGACCGAATTTTCTCTGAACTGCCGGGCTTGTCACACATCCAGCTCCTGACGGATTCTTCCTCCTCCTCCTTCTTCTTTTTTTTAAAAAAGATTTATTTATTCTTATAACAAAGTCAGATATACAGAGAGGAGGAGAGACAGAGGAATATCTTCCGTCCGATGATTCACTCCCCAAGTGACCGCAATGGCCGGTGCTGTGCTGATCCGAAGCCGGGAGCCAGGAACCTCTCCCAGGTCTCCCATGTGGGTGCAGGGTCCCAAGGTTTTGGGCCGTCCTCGACTGCTTTCCCAGGCCAGAGCAGGGAACTGATGGGAAGTGGAGCTGCTGGGATTAGAACAGGCGCCATATGGGATCCCGGCACGTTCAAGGCTAGGACTTTAGCCGCTAGACCACGCTGCTGGGCCCCAGATTCCTTCTCTGTCGCTGCAAGAACCAGGTTTCAGGCTGCCCCCCTCCTAGAGGAAGCCACTTGTTAAGGACAATCAGCCATATCAAGGTCATTAGAAATCTCTGCCTTGTAGTCATTAAAAAAAAAGGACTTACTGTGTGCACTTGGCTCATGTAAACATGGCCATAAATATGGGGCAAAAATTTAAAAAATAAATATAAACCCAGCAGCATATTTTTAATAATAGCGCAATTTTTCTGCTTCTATTCAACTTATGAACTTAGGAGTTGTTCAAAAACTTTAGGAAAAGCAGCTGCCTTTTTGAGAAGGTGAATGGAGCAAAACCCACAATGCCTTCAGAAGAAGTTTATTGGACAGAATTGATTGCATGTGATTTTTAATTCACATACTGGGCATTGAACTTAGTCTCCCTCTAAACTGTGACTTAAATTGTGGAAAAATAAATGTTTGATCTTCAAAATTATCTAGGGGCTATAGAGTGGATATTCCTTCTTTTGTCAGACAAGCACGTCCCATGCAGTCCAAAGTAGCAGGTGCTAGTCTAGGAGACAGACAGGGCCTGTTTGGGCACTGGCCCCACCAGCAAGAAATGCAGCACAGGATGCCAAAATGGATGATCTAGGAGAGGGCTGCTCTGCGCAGGAGGGCTGTGACTGGCTGGTGGGGGAGGGGCTGTGCCTGGACCTGCTTGGGAAGCGAGAGGAAAGGAGTGTCAGTGTCCTTTCTAGGATGACATGGTGTGCAGGTGTGAGGTTCAAGGTGGGCCATGAGGAGAGAATGAGTGTGGGAGAAATGAACAAGGGCAGGTGTCAAGCTAAGGAGCCCAGCCTTTCTCAACAGATGGGTGGTCAGCTTGGTGACACTGTTCCCCTTGGCAGTGTGGAGGGCAGGTTGGAGGCAGACTAGAGTCAAGAAAACCCATTAGGTTTGAACTTGGGTAGAGCATCTGCGAGACAAGAGATCCCCAACAGAAAATGGACATGCAAAAAGGACCTGGCATGCAGAATGGGGAGGACCCTGACTTCTCAGCAGGTGCGCCACCCTGCGAGCGGTGTGCCCCTTCAGGGAGGCAAAGGATGGAGGGAACCAACTGCTTGTGCCAGAGAGCAGAGGTGCCCAGGAGAGAAAGCGGCACTGGTGTGTATCTTGGAGTACCTGTGTTGGCCTGGTGGCACTGATCATTGAAAATGCGTGAGGCATGGGGCAGAAGCTGAAGCTGGGGACTTCAGAGTGTGCCATTTATGGGACCAGCAAGAGAGCCACTGAGTAAGTTCTGTGTCTACATGTGCTGGGTGTGTGTGGAGGGAGAGCCGAGCAGAAGATCCCCACCTGGCTTGTGATGTTGTCAAATGGCATTAACACTGACCCTGAACGTTGCCTTCCTCGGGCATGACTGGGGCCAAGACAGCCCACTGTGAGCTGCAGACGCAGAGCCCTGGGGCTCCCTTCTCTGTGGAGTCTCCTGCTGCGAGCGAGCTCAGGCTCAGCAGGGGAACCTGGAGAAATTGCAACAGGTCTATCAGGATCTCCTGAGGGAGGACTCAGCAGTGGTGGCTCTCTCCAGGCATCTTTTCAGATTACCAATTAGCTGGCCAGGAAGGGTCACCTTGGGAGATACACTGAGGGGAGCGGGGCTGGTGTTAGCTGTGAGGACAACCGTGCTTTCCTCTTGGAAGTTTCCCCCAAGCAACTCGTCTACTTGTGCATCCCTCAGTTTCAGGCCCTGCTGTCCCCCAGGAGGCCAGCTGTCCTGCAGCAGAACCCATCATGTGCCCGAGCAGTCTACTCAGCTTTGAGGGTGGGGGTGAGGGAAGCAGGGACAGCTGTGTGGTGAGCAGGCCTGACAGAACTACATGTGGTCCGGCTGCCTTAGAGGCATGTCTCTTTCAAATGACCTTGCAGATGGCGCTGGTCTGGTCACTGCCCAGCAAGCTGCCTTCCTCCTTCGCCTGCTCTCCTAGGCTGCTGACAGCAGAGCTTCCACCCTGGGGCCCCTGGCTCAGCCCCACGTGGGAGGATTCCCATGGAAACCCCGGGAGGAGCAGAGGCTGGGGAAAGCCTTATTGATTCATGCTCCAAGAAGACAGGCATGAGACAGGTCCCCCTAGAACTGGACAGATGGCCCTGTGTGCGCTGCGGTGAGAGGTGCGGCTTGCCTAGCCTCCATAGTACCCTTAGCTCCTGCAGATGCTGGAGGCACTAGCCACTGGACATGTATGGACAAAACCTGGGGGCTTCTTCAGCCCAGTCATTGTTGGGTGGGTCTGTTCTGAACGGACATCTTCACCAAATCCACCCCTCTGCACCCAGCCAGCTCCAGTGCCACTGGAATTCCTGCACAGAAATGAATGTGGAGGAATAATGTCATTCCAGAAATTTTCCAAGTTCATGGAACTCTGTGGTCCCAGCTCTATCTGAGGCAGTGTGTTGCTTTGAATCATTTGTTGGCGCTTCTGCATCATGGAGATAGTTCTCCATCATGTCCTCCCTGTGAGCGTGTCGTGGGAGGAAGACCTGGCCCCTGCTGCCCAGTGGTCCCCAGTCTGGCCTCTTGTGTTCACACTGTGCTGGGGATCCCCCCAGAGGCATGCAGGCCTGAGCTCATTTTGTGGGCATTGTACCCAGATGTGTGGGCATTGTGAGGGGCAGAAAGAGGTAGAGCACAGCAGAGCAGAG